CTATTTTAACTTTAAAAGTGTACGGAAACAATTTGACATGTTAGAATAATCTTTCATCACAACAACACTTAAATATATATGTTGACGCTCCATTTGTTTACTATTTTACTAATAAACAACAAATGAGAACTATATGAAGGAAAACTAACTATTAAAGCTTTTAAAATTGTATTTCTGTTTTCTGTGGAGTCGTCAGTTTTACTCTGTCGCTTTTTGCTCTTTTCAAAGATGCATCATGAGTCAACCAGGGAGCGACTCACCAACTCAGTCCAATGACTACCTTCCTTGATGCTTTAGCAATGAATCAAGCTTAACCTCATATATATATCTATATATATATATAGAGAGATACGTATATGCATGATTATTTTGTTTTCAGTGAAGTGCTGAGCAAGCGCTGCAGAGACAAACTGAATGACATCACCAGTGAAATCTTACAAAAATAAAACTCCGTGATCACACAAGTCAAACAAGTTTGTGGTTTTTTGGTTTTGAGCATTTAAGGAACCAACCACGTCTTTCACTTCCTCTGGACACACATGCTGCGGTGTTATTTTTGGTGTTTCTTTAACACCCGCATGAAACATGTCACCCGGACCACTTTTTAAAATCTGTGCAGTTTCACTAAAATTAGAAACATCTTGTCTGAAAGTGATGCAGAAAAGCTGCTGCATGCAGTCATCACATCTAGGCTGGACTATTTGAACTCTTTATCATCTGGGTGTTCACAAGCTACACGTCTTTAGTTGATCCAAAATGCTGTTTCTAGAGTTCTGATGGAAGTTAGAAGATATTTTATTTTTACAGTTTCAGCTTCTTTTCATTGTTTTTATGTCAAATTCAGAACAGAATTTAAATTTTTGTTTCCAACAGACAAAAGATCTCAACAACCTAGGTCCAGCCTATATTAAAAGATCTCATTGTTCCATATTTTCCTTACACAGCGCTTCGCTCTCGGACTGCAGGTTTACTTGTGGCTCCTAGAGTTTCCAAACGTGGAATGTGAGGAAGAGCTGCCAGTTCTCAGGCTCCTCTCTTGTGGAACCAACTTCCAGTTTGTGTCCATGAGGCGGACACGTTGTCCAGTTTTAAGACTTTCCTTTTTGATGAATCCTATAGTTTGGTGCTTGGGTTTCTTGAGTTCTCCCTTAGTTCTGCTGCTACAAGCTACGGCTGCTGGAGGACAAACTGACCATTCCTTCACTTTGCCGTCTTCGTGTTTGAATATGCAACTCTTGCTGTCATTGTCGGCTGCTTTTATTCTATTAGCTCTTAATTAATCAAATAAATTATTACTTTGTTTGTTTGTGTCCTCTCTAACTCCAGCTGGTCGAGGCAGATAGCTGCACATCATGAGCCTGGTTCTGCTGGAGGTTGTTTCCTGTTAGTGTCACCAAGGAGCTGCTCAGGATGAGATTTCCACAGTGACCATTTGATGCGACCTGCTGGATTCCTCCGATAACTTCTATAATGTATTGTGTTATTATAGCAATGAATCAACCGTGATCTTTTCTTTTTCTTTACCTTCATGTGACTTGATTCCTTTTTCAAGGCCCATTATAGGAACAGATTTCAGATGTTGAACCGAAATCAGTTTAGCTACAAACATTTTTGCTGTTCGAACAACGACAACACGTTATTAAGCACCAGTTGGAGGTCGTTTCTGCTGAAATATTCCACAGATGGTCGACTTGTAGCGTGTGCAGAAAGAAAACTGAACGAGTCGGTGCATCAGAAATAAAACATTTTCCTTCTGCTAATTAATTCCTCTAAAACATTTAAACCACTGAGTACAGCTGCAGAATAATTCAAGCTATTTCAATAAATCATAAAAAGGTTCAGCTCTTCCAGGACAATCCTGCTGTGACTTTTGGTATTGGTGCAACTTTAGCTTTTTGAAATATTTAGCCTTTTCTGCCACTTTTGTTTTCTCAGAGAATAAACTGAGCTCATTTTCCATCCTTCAAATCTTTAGCTCTCTGAACCTGTTACTGCTCCGTTCACGTTTTGTTCTGCTTCAGCTTCTTTCAGCTTCCTGGTGCAAATAAAAATTCAGCTACTTTCAGCTGTTTTGTGCTCCTTTCAGATTCTTTCTGCTAACTACATTTTTGTGCCTCTTCCAACTAATTTCAGCTTGTTATGCTCCCTTTAGCTTATTTCTGCAAGTTTCAGCATTTTCTAATATTTCAGCTACCATTTAGCTGATTTTAAGTTAATTTAAACATTTTCGGCTAATTCTACAATTTTTGCATTCATTTCAACTTTGTTCAGCCTAATTCAGCAAAAATGTGCTCTCTGCACTTCTTTCTTGTAATTTCAGCTTATTTCAGATTTTTTTGTTGTTGTTGCCAATTTTCAGCTGTTTCCAGAACATTTCCACATTTTCAAACTAATTTCTGCTTCTTTCAGCCCATGTTTTTTTTTTCTGCTAATTTAAGCTTGTTCTAACATTTCAGCTCATAGCATTTTTAAGCTAATTTCAGCTGTTTTCAGGTTAATTTTTTGTGGTAATTTCTGCAACTTTCAGCTTATTTCTTCCAGTTTCAGCTTTTTCTGCTAATTGAACTGTTTTATGCTAAATTTAGCTTTCTCGGCTAATTCAACATTCTTGGAGCTCATTTCAGCTTCAGTAGTTTAAGCATCTTTCTGCCTTTTCAGATTTTTTTTTTTGTTCATTTCAGCTTTTTTTAAGCTAACTTCCAAATGTTTGTGCCAATTTATTTTAGCCTAATTCAGTAAATGTGTTCTTCCTTGCTTCTGCTAAGTTAGACTTGTTCACCCATTTCAGCGTGTTTAGCTAATTTCAGCTGTTTATTCAGCAACAAACGTTCACACTGCATTTTAGCTGGAAATGCAATTTCTCTAGTTTCAAATGTTTTTATATATCATTTAGAAAGACAATATTCACTTCTTGTTTAAATGTTTGGCTTTGTGGTACTTACAGAGTAATTTGGGAATTTATTCCCTGAAAATGAATTTGCTCAATAAACAGGCGTCCATGATGTAATCTTTGAGTAAAGTCATACTTTGAGCCCCAGGCCTGCTTCAGGTCTGGTTAGGTCGTATCAAACATGACTGAGTTAAACGGTTTCCCTCCTACGGTTAAACAGATTTTAAACGAGAATAAATTTAGAGGCAGCTTTGAGCCTCGTCCTGTCAGAGCCGACGCTGAGCCGGGCGGTCCAGTTATCCTGCAGGTGTCCAATCAGCCTCCTGCAGCTCCAAACGCTTCCTGCTCAGCTCGGCTTTAATTAGACCTCACAGTTCAGGCGTACACCCCGCTGAGGAAAAGCAAGCCAAATCATCTGTCCGCACACACACAAACAAAAACAACGAGGATTCAACTTGAGTTTTATTGTTCTGAGAAAATCAACACCAAGTAAAAAATAAATTACTTCCTTGATTTTAGTTTTAAACATCAAGACCAGAGGCCTCAGAAACACTGAGGGAACGTTTAGACACGATGAAGACAGCGTTTGAAATTCAGAATCCATGACAGTAAAAACATATCCAGGCGTGAATAAATGCTTTTTCCTACAAACTGGGGTTTACGATGAGGATTAATCTGGACAAAAGTAATAAAAAATTAAAATTATTGCAGCTTCAATGAACTGACGGTGAATTTATTTGATCAAACCCGTCCCTTGGTCTTGCATAAACATGGAAAAATGACATAAAAAGTAAAGTCAGGTTCTCTGAATGGATTCTTGTTGTTGAAGCGGTTCATCTTTTATCCAAAGGACTTCTTCAGTCTGAGGCGCTGCAACAAACTCGGTCTAATAAACAGCGCCTTCTCATAGTGGATCAACCAGTTTGCTGCTGACAGACAAAACTAGTTCACACGATAAAGGACCATCAGCCTAACGACCGATCGTTAGTGCCCTGATGCCCGCTTGCTATTCACAGAGAGCTGAGTGATACTAGCAATAACAGAAGCCATCTTTGTGAAAAGAACCCACCCATCATTAAACAGGGGCAGAGGCCTTCGTGTCCAACTGTCCCGCTGATATTGCTAGAATCACTCAGCTCTCTGTGAATAGCAAGCGGGCATCAGGGCACTAACGATCGGTCGTTAGGCTGATGGTCCTTTATCGTGTGAACTAGTTTTGTCTGTGAGCAGCAAACTGGTTGACCCACTATGAGAAGGTGTTATTTATAAAACCGAGTTTGTTGCAGCTCCTCAGACTGAAGAAGTCCTTTGGATAAAAGACGAAACGCTTCAAGAAGAAGAATCCGTCCAGAAGACCTGACTTTAATTTGTTAGATTTTTCTACGTGGATTACTGAGCGTGCATCAGGAGAAAAATGAAGTTAGATTTGTTCAATCTCATCCTGGAACAGATGGTGTCCTGCTTAATTCAAAATGTTATAAACAGAGGCCGGAGATTCTAAATGTCAAACAAAGAAGAGAAATTTAAACTGGGTAAGAAACAGGTGTCGGTCTAATTTATTCCTCATTAATTCATTAAAATAGCTTCAGGCTTCATTGTTTCAAACAGATTCAGGAACATCACCTTGATGTGCAACATGTGTTGTGGTTTTATGAAATCAGGCATTAAATGGTAAATAGAAAAAAAAACATGCATAACTTGACAAATATTTGTGTTCTGAAGCTGGAAAACACAGACGTAAAGTACCTTCAATGGAGGCAATAAACACACAACGTGCTGCAAACAAGAGCAGGTTACAACAATTTCAAGGAAATACGTGTTAACAGCAACTTTTATATCAAAAATTTGAATTTGTTTGGTTTAAAATAAAAAACGAAGGACGAAGTAAAATTCCCAACACTAACAGGAAAGGAGAGAGACGCTCAGCTGTTTGCTGTTGGACCTTCAAAAACAAGACGTCGAACAAAAATACACGGTCAACCCACTTTCTAAACCATCAGGAGGCACTTTAACAACCAGGTGAAACTAAAACCTGATGATAACGACAACGACCGGCTGACGAGGTGAAAATGGCTGATTAGAAAACAGGTGAGCTCAGTTCGTTTGACTGTGACGATGAATACAACTTTAAAAACGGTTTCCTTGAAGTGAATTCTTTAGCATAGATGAGTTAAATTATCCCGACCTCATTCTGTCCTGCTGCATCTACAACGTCCGTAAGAAATCCTCTACATCAGGCACTTGTTGATTAGTTCATGATGGCTCCCAGCCCTCGATCAGACACGCCGAGCTGCTTCATTCACTTAGTTCAGGCAGCTTCTTCGCTCCTCTCTTTATTCTCCTCTTTGACTCGATCCTCTCTCCTTCGTCCTTGACGCTCCGTGCGCTGCGGTACACTCCGGGAGACCTTAATTCGACGTCGTCGAGCGCGGGGTCATCGGGCGACACGGGCTGCGGGGCGGGGTAGTTGGGTTGGTAGTACTGGTACGGGTCGGCCTCCTCGGCCTCGCCGTAGTTTTGGAAGACGCTGGGTGGAAGTTGGACTGAGGACATAGGGCCCAGGTGAGCGTCGTCTTCACCTTCTGTCGCCAACCAACCAGGCAGCGAGCCCACCAGCACCAAGTCAGACAGGCAGCAGAAGCCCCAAGCAAAGATGGCCGATCCCGTCACCATGAAAACAGGTTGTTGGAGCAATTTAATGGGTTAGCCGGAAGATGGGGTTGGATAGGAACGAAGCAAGAGAAATAATAAGAGAAGGATTAGCGAGGATTACCAAACCATGATTATAAAAGTTACAGAGAGAAGGAAGTCCAGCAAAATTAGCTTCAAGCTAAAAATTAGAACAAGCAACAGTTGAGTTTCAGATGCCCACAACTGTGCAAACTAACTCTCCATTAGTGTTAGATGTATCATCTATTAGCTGACACTCAAGCCAGCTGCAACATACGTCAGACATTAATCAGGTTTCTGCCACTTGATGTTAAAACGAGCATCGTGTGCATCTGACACTTTTAGTCGCTGCTCTGAGAAAGTTTGTGCTACAGGCGTCTGTTGATTAGAACGAAGGAACTGGATGATTGTAATCTAGAAGAAAAGGTCAAGAACAGGATGACTGCGTCAGAGTGGTCCGTTTGTCAGGACTCCACACCGTTCAGCTGAACACGTTTATTTTTATAGCACATTCCAAGGTGCTTTACGGAGCAGGAAGAAGGCGAACTACGGAAGGGCTATTCAGCTAAACTGCTCAAGGGGCCACAGAACGGCTCAGGGGCCGGACATCCAGCAGTTATTGTCATTAAATAAGTTTGTTTTACGATATAAGATCTAGTTTAAATTTATAAATGAACTCATTGGTGGGCCGAACTGAGCTCAAGCATGGGCCTAATTTGGCCCCCGGGCCACCAGTTGAATAGCTCTGACCTATGCACGCACACACACACCAAGAAACAACGCAGTAAAAGCAGTACTAAACAGTTGTAAACCAATTAAAAGCAAAATAAAACAAGAAATGTCTTTAATTTAGATTTATCGTAACTTCCAGACTATAAGCCGCTACTTTTTTCAAAACGCGGCTTATACAACGCTGCGGCTAATTTTTGACGAGCTAACGAGCTTCACGGCACCAAAACATTTAGCCTCGTCACATCTGGGTGCACAAATAGCTGCTCAATAAACTTCTCTCTTCTGGGGAGGGGGGCGGGTCCTCGTGACTCTACCTGTATAAATGATGGTTCAAAATTCTGACCAATGAAATTACCGAACAGGTCAGAGTGGAGCAACGAAACGGGGGAGGGATGAAGTCTTCCTGTTTCGAAAGGCAGCTGAGTGATGGAGAACAGCACAGGCATGAGCAGGAGGAAGATGAAGAGCGATCAATGACTTCCTGATAGGCTACTGTATTTATTGATTTATTAACCAGCTGTGTTACAGGCACTATTAAAATAATAATAATTACTGTATGTATTTGCGTATTTTACCCATAGACATTTAACTGAAAGGTAAAAAAAATCTGTATGAACATCTCACGTTACAACGTAGACACCTTATAGAAAAGTGCGGCCTATTATGTACAAAATTATTATTTATTTTTTAATTTAGTGGGCGTGGCTTATATTCGGGTGCGCTCAATAGTCTGGAAATTATGGTAAATACGATCAGACTCAGTCTGAGCTGCTCGGGTTGTTTGTGCCACATGTGAGGAGCGAAAAAACCCAAAGCAGCTTCACCACGTTTGGTTCTGGTTTCTGATCCAGTGTTTTTGCTGGGTTTAAATTTTACATTCCAATTTATTTAAAAAAAAAAAAGGGTTAAAACCAGCTGGAAACTTGCATAGCCTCCGTAATGACATCATATTTGGTGCAAATCAGCGGATGCACTGACACAACCGTCATCACCTACATTAGTTCGCAGTGTCTGTTAAAGCTAATCCTGTTTTTTTGTCTTTGGGTTTCCTGCTGTGCTTCAGTAGTCGTTATAAGGTTGAGCTGATGAAGCATCCAACAGGAGGGCGGTGGGCAGACAGACGGACAGAGACACACACAAAGAAAGGAGAAGGATTACAACATGCAGCCGTTACTCACATGACGAGGCACCGTTCAGCCTGCGGCGTGACCTTTAACCTCAACACATAAACATCAGCGCAGTCATGCACTCACAGGCTAAAGACGACTCCTGGAGGGTTTTCTGCGCTTTTAATAAGTGTCAGGTTTTTGTTCGAGGTGAGACGTAACCGAATCCTGTGGATGTGTGAGGTGGAGTCTGCTATAGATTTGAAAACCCTCCATGGAGCATCTTTGAGATTAAACCCAGATCGATTTAACGCCACAGCTCGGTCGCAACACGTTAAGATGCAGAATTCATTTATAATTTTGTCGTTATGGTTTGCTGCAGAATGAGCAAATCATTCACGTCCAGACACTGCAAATGACACGAGGCTTAAAAGAACAAAAGTTTCCCTTTACATGCGGAGCGTGAGCAACGAAGCAGACAAATTCAAACCGTCGAGCTCAGAAAACCAGAAACGACTTGAAATAATACTTTTGTTTTTGTGAATGACTGAAGCTGTACTTTGAAGCGGTGGGTCTGTGTGAATGTAACTGATTGAAACGATTTCCATCATCCTTATTGTTTGGATCCTCTGAGTTTAGCTGAAAATCATCGTTGATCAAATTACAGGAAGTCTTTAGAAATTATGGCTATTTCACAACCTGCAACATGTAAAGTTTGTCATATTGGAAAAACAACTGTCTCGATGGAAGTTAAATTATAATTTAAAAACATGTTGGCTTAGTAAAAACAAATATGTTGCTAACAGTTAGCGTAACTCAGCAGAATCCCTTGAAACCAGGGCTTAATTTGAGCCGGATACAAACTCTTATTTTGACAGGGTGTGTTCCGGTAACTCTCAGACTTACTAATAACAACAACGTTATGAACAAATACGACTGCCTTGATTAAATCCTATATTAATAATAATTACATAAACACTCATTTTAAACACAACAGCCACTTACGAGCTTCTTAATATCACGTCACAGCTGCTCCTTCAAGTAAGCATTTCCACTTCTACCATGAAAAAAATCTCCACCCCCTAAAAGTTCAGTCATGGGCAATTTAATTAAAAACACAAAAATATAAATAAACAGTACAACTATATTGCAAACCAGTTTTACAGTTTAAGTGTGTCATTAATAAAATGTTGATTGTTTATTAAAAATACGAGAGGAATGTTTGACGGGTCATCTCATGATGTATGTGGCATAACTTGGTTTATAAATTAAGCCCTGCTTAAAACTAAAACGAAAGTTAAACTTGAACTGTTCCAATAATAACACAAGTCACACTAATGAGTTTAATTCTACACAAAGAGGCGGTTTTCATTAGTTGCCTTTGGACTAAAAGATTTTTATTCAATTTATCATTTGTGTGAATTTATTGAATGTTTGTTTGTTTACCTGAAATGTTTTAAATGAAGTGTTTGACAACTACGTGGGTAAAATGTTTTTCTTTTTGCCTATGCTTCGATTTATAGATGTGTTTTAGAAATGCCATCTGCCCCCCCCCCCCCAAACACACAGAGATTATTAGTAGTAAAAGTGAACTCTGCATCTTAACATATTTCGTGTTTTACCTTCAAATACAACGTGCACGGATAGAAAACTGTAATGGCATGCGGCTCGTGTTAGCTCAGTGGAAGCTTCTCAACATGAAAAGCAGCCAAAAGATTTAAACGTTTCACCTCAAGACCCTCCGTCTAAAAGGCAAACGCACGCAAAGCAGAACATTTGCAGTCAATACGTCTCGAAAAGCATTCAGGACATTAAACGTTACGTTTCTGCCCTTTTTTCAATTCAGGGTTCAGTTTTTGGACCAAACGTACCTCCAACGTTGTAGCCCAAACAAGAGTTCTGGTCGCAGTATCCTGGGGGGCCTGGAGGACCAACTGGTCCAGGAACTCCAGGCCGACCAGGAGCTCCAGGATTTCCAGGTCGCCCTGAAGGACCCTGACTTCCAGGTCTGCCCTGTCCCTGGGGACCTGAGGAAAATGTTTTTTTATATGTTGGCGACAAAAAGAAACTTGTTTGTCTTCATGTGTCAGCAAATATTTAAGACCAGACTGAGACCTTCTACTGAACCATATACATATAAGTGTAGGTTGGATTTGTTTACCAGGAGGTCCTGATGGTCCTCTGGGGCCTTGGATACCAAGTCCTGAAGATCCTTTCTCACCCTTTTCTCCTGGTTGACCTGAAAATAAACAGAAACAAAAGATGATGTCGTTACTAAAAAAAACACTGGGAAAAAAAAAAAAGCCATCGATGAATATCGACAGGCATACCCTAAAAATTAAAGGTTCTGTTTTGTGCTAAATTATATTTAAAAAATGGCTGTAATTTTAGGTGTAGGCCAACATTTGTCCCTTACTATCGACAAATAGATGTTTTATGGAGGGTTCTTCTAAGCAACAGACATAAAGTTTAGTGTTAAAGTTTTGAATGTTACTAATAAAGTATAACACTTTTATTTGCAGAGATTTATAGCTGTTAGTCGAAAATGAAGATGGTCTCGCCTCTTTCTCCTGGGTTTCCATTTTGTCCGTTTTGTCCTGGAAAGCCCGGTCTTCCGGGAGGTCCCTGTTCTCCCTGTGGTCCTGCGGCTCCTTGTCGACCAGGTTCTCCTGGAGGTCCGGGTACTGTTCGGATGGTTACCGGTGGACTGGGGGCGTGATTCAGGATGGTGTTGTAGCGGGACATGTGACCTGAAATCAGACGTAAGTAACTTGCTTCATGAAGACGAGTATCTTCAGGACGTCAAATATTTAAAAACTGCATTAAAGGCTTTAACTGCTTAATATTTGACTGATTTAGTCTCATGTATGTATCAAAAGTGGTAAAATAAACTTTATAACAAACTTTAAAAATTGCTCTGGGACTGATGGTAGCAAACAAACGCACACTTTATTTAAGAATATTATCTTTTCCCAACACTTTGTGGTAAATATTAATAAAGTTTAAGTTACGTGGTAAATATTGTGACTTACTTTGGATGAGCTGCTCACAAACTTCTCTGGCGATGTCCTGAACTGACGCTGTCGACTGGAGGTCACCCTAAAGACAAAATAAAGATAAATTCATCCGAGTCGTCGCCAACACGTTCCTGCTTATTCAATGTTACTTGTTAGGAAAATAAAGAGAATTTATTTTTACTTTTAAAGCTAAACTGGAACCTTCATCCTTTACTTGAGGATCGACTTTAGCAAAATAATACCATTGTGTGTTTTTCTACTCTGCTATCAGTGAGATCTGTCAGAATAAAAGTCTTCACTTAGATGTTATCATGTAGTGTTTATGTAAGAAAATTTACAGGACGTTGAAACGATCACATTTTTTATGGTAGAACTCTTGCCTAAATTTGGAACATTTTAATGCTATTAGTGTTATAACAGGAAGCAAAATCAGCCGAATTTATTAAAAACAGCTTCAATTAGCTGAAGGCATTACGCATCAATCTGGAATGTTTGAGGAAGTTGACTAAAACGAATGAAAACAAACAAAAAAAGGGTTGGTTTGTTGTGGTAACGTGGCAGAACAACAGAGTGGAGGTGACTTTAAATCTGTTAAACAACTAAATGTTGAGTCGATACTTTCAAGATAATTATGATTTGATTAAAACAGCTATGAAAACTAGTCTGCATTTTGACTATTTTATAATAATCTTTCTGAAATGTTATCAAAAACAGAAGATTTCATATTTTTAGACATTTGAACTAAACTCTAACTTGGACTTATCACAGTCCTTTTCACAATAAATGCCATTTTACCCGTTTTATTCCTTATACATTTTAATTTTTGTTTGATTTTGAAATGGTTTACAGAAAAAAAAAATATTGTGAGTTACGCAACAAACAAAATAAAATGATATTTTAATATTACTAAGGTTCCAAATCAAAGAGAGCCAGCTTCATATTTATTAGAGTTGTTTAATCAGTTATTAATTTGTGAAAAGATAAATCATGTTTCCTGTGACGAGTTTAACAATAAACAAAGCTTTCGTTATTTTCATTAGCTGACAGTATTAATAAGTTTCATAAATACGAATTTACTTTAACATTTTGCAAATAATTGCTTTTATTCGGTAAAACTTACACTTTGTTTTATATAAAGTTAAGTCTTAAACGACAGAGACACTCACCCGTTCACCTTTCTCCCCTTTGCCTCCAGGAAGACCCTGAAACAGGAGAAAACATAAAATAAAAACTTTGGATGAACTGACTTCATGGCTCATGATATTTATTAAAATAACAGAAGATATTGAACCATAAAAAGGTGCATTCTGTACATATTGTTGGTGAAACAGCTGGTCTACAATTCTATTATTTCCTTGTTAAACATATCCGTGTTCTAAAATACTTATTTCTGATATTATCATTTATGCTCCCATCATATCATCAATAAGCTGCTGCAGTACAGCGCAGGCACCTTGAACAATTAAAATGACTAAATATAGTTTAGATATAGGGTTACATTTCTACATATATAAAATGTCAGAAATAAATCACAACCTCTAAATCAAAGTTTCAAAAGAGTTGAGATAAGTTGTTTGACATAGGACAATTTTTGTTTTTTTAGGAATGTTGCTGTTTTTTTTTATCAAAATGTTTAAAGCAAATAAGTATGTATTACAAATACACAAAACACACAAAACAGATATTAAAATATTTAAGTAATCATTATTTTTTATTTATTTTAAATGAATACGAAACTTGTAAAAAAAAAAAAGCAGAATGGTGTATTTTTTTTTTAACGCATCAATATTAAATCATGTTTAGAAAGGAAGATTAAAATATGACAGACGGTAATAAAAAGGATAATTTAATCGTCTAATATTTGTCAAACTGTACCATCAAACAATCAGTGGCGTATAGTTTCCTCCCTGAAGTCCTCATTAAGACCTACAATGTTGCTGTAATTAGCAGACGAGCGCTCTGCGCCCACGCACGTGAGGCTACACGCTCCACAACATTTGATCAAAGAGATGAAAAATTATTTATCTGCAGCTTTTATCCCCTCCCACCGAGTCTCGTGTCTTCTGTTATCAAAACGCGAGTTCCTCTCACTGAAACACGAGTAAATGCCACAGCAGAGTAAACGCACACAAACACACAGAAGTAAAATGTTTCCTGATCTGGGAAATTCTGCAAAAATGGAAAACGTTAACGTCAACCGGCTGAACCCAAAGGCAAAGGAAAAAAAGCTGATTGAGACGAGTTGCACAATAACCGATATACTGTAACGGTTGAAAATCTTTGAGCTTTGTCCGCCCCAAAGAATCGAAGTAAAGAGCGAGTGGAGCGGGGCTTGTTTACTCAGCACAGCTGTTAGCAATCATGAAGCTAAACAAATCAGATCCAACTATAGTCCCACTGTGCTGCCTTTTGCTCAAAGACAGTAATTAGTTCGTCATATGAGTAAGTTGTATAAACGAGGTGGTAAATAAGTTCATAGTTAATAATTAGTTTAAGTAAATTCATGCTAAAAACTGTTAAAACGTTTTGTGTTTGAATTCCAACCAGAGTGAGACATCTGATCTTCGTCATATTGTACGAGCAGCAGGTGAGGTAGTGAGTGCTCTCACCACAGAACAATCTTTGGCGTATTTTCTCCGTAAAACAAGAGCTTCGGTAAATAAGGGAGAAAACAGCTCATTTACGCGCTTGAGCCCAGGGAGACTTTGTAAATAACAGATCGTCAGTAAAATCAAGAAAGCAAGTCTTGTCTGAGGACTTTTTATTTTCTTCGCTGTCTAGCTTCACGTAGTTACGTGTTGTGAGGACAGCATGCCCAAACTAACGTTAGCTTGCTAACCTGAGGCACGTAGCTAATGACAAGCGGGTTGATGATTGAAGAGAATTTATTATTGTGGATTTGTTTTGTTTGTTTTACAGATCTGTTAAAATAAACTTATCATGGTCTGTTCAGCAAAATACTCCACACAGTAATGATCCCTGCTTCATCTGTGCTGATTGTGCAAGTGAAACTTAAGTGAACGGCCATGACTTGAAAGTAGTCTTCATGCTCCCTCTGCTGGATACACTACAATTACGGCTGGTGAAATCATTTTAGGGGTGACAATTAGAAGTGTTTATATTGGCCGATAATGAGAGCTAGGGATGCACGATATTGGATTTTGGGGCGATATCCGATATGTTAAAACTTATTTGGCCGATAACCAATACCAATATTTTTTTTCCTAGACCTACTTACAGAGAATACATACTCTGTTGTGAAATTAAAATACATTATTCTGCATGATCTTTGTCAATTTGAACTGCTACCAAATGCAGATGCCAAAAAGAGGGCTGAAAATGATCTAACACTTAAACTTGGATTATGTTTAATGTCAAATTTACTCTCTAACACAATGACAACACTCGAACAGCGCAAATATGTAAATTTTCACAAATCTAAACTCAACCTGTTCACGAGCGACAAGTGAAAAGCGCATAAGTAACAGTGTACTAATTAGGGGTGTAACGGTACACGTGGGTGTACCGAACCGTTTCGGTTCGGCACGTTCGGTTCGGTCCACGTGCGTACCGTTTCGGTTTATTTTTCACTCATTACATTTTATTAACAAGAGATCAAGCGCCACGGAACTAAAGTCCCTAAGCGTGTTTCAGCACGGCGCTATTATCTTGCAGCACGCGCAGCATTAGCATTCTAGCATGTCGTTGCGGTCTCCTGTTTGGGAACATTATGTCTTTCTTGTTAAAAGACAAGTGAACAAATCCAAAGCTGTGTGTCGACGTTGTTTCACGGAGAGTGGATCTGCAGCAGCAACACGTCGAACATGTTAACGCACTTTAAACGACATCATCCGGACGTGAACGTCTCTTCTAGCAGCTTGTTGCAAACGCCGATAACAGCAGCATTTAAACAACCTGTATCAGGTAATTCAGATCGTTCCAGAGCAACGACACAAGCTGTAGGAGTTTTTAAAGCTCTGGATCTACGTTTCTGTTGTTCAGTTATTGAGCCCCGCTACGACCTCAAGTCAACACTTCAGCCAAAAAGTTGTAGCAGCTCTTTATGAAAAGATAAAACTGATCGTCAACAAGCCCTGGACCAGATTAAAGTCCTGATGATGACCGAGAGATTCAACCACCTCATAACAACCGTTCAAGAAGAGGTATTGTTCTTTTATCATTATTATCCAATTAACTTTTTTTTATTTTTTTTTAAATTATAATCTTATTAACTAATTGTTTAACCTATTTGTGTTTTATTTCCAGTCTGGGACAGAGATAGCAGCTGAGTCTTCCTGTTCAGGGAAATCCACCAGAGATCACCTCCAGCTAAGAATCTGTGATGAGTGAACTTTTCCAGGGACCAGTCCTCCAGGGACCTGTCCTCCAGGGACCTGTCCTCCAGGGACCTGTCCCACCTGTGGGAGCAGGTCCAAGAAGAGGTTGTGAGTAATGAGGACAAATACAGCCACACTGCAAAATTAGCAAAGCTCTACCTCTTTATTCCAGCTACTGTTGTTAGTGAGAGGTTTTCTCCACTGCTGGAGATGAAGTCACTGCTACTAGATCTGTGCTCGTTGGTCTTTTTGACCAAGAACTTAAAACTTGACTAGTTAGATTGTAAATGGTCTGTTGTTGCTTATTGTTCTGGTTCTGACTGTTATTGTATTTATTAAGATTTTCATTATTGTTAAGAGTATTTAAAATATCATCCAAATGGGTCGCTTTTATTTATTTTTAAACAAACGTATTGTTTACTTGGCATATTTTCAAAATAAACATTTTTTAAAGTCTTCATTTTGTCTTTTTTTGTACCGAAAATGAACCGAACCGAAATGTGAATTTAGCGTACCGTTACACCCCTAGTATTAATAGATATACTTGACAGTTTCTTAAATTAAAAATTAACTTAAAACAAAAGCCTTTTATTTTGGTGAGGTTTTTTTTTTTGATGGAATGGTCGATATTTAACTTTACTGATAATATCGGCCGATACCGATACCATGCCGATAATATTGTGCATCCCTAATTGGAACATTATCGCCGATACCAATAGGTCTCCAAATGTCTATATCAGCCAAAATTATCGGGCCTACCAATATATCGGTCAGACTCTACTTGTGATTATGTAATTTTTCCAAAGTGAGGCAGAAAATCCTCAGAATCTTCATTTAGCAGCTTTTTGAAGCAGTGATGAGTTTTTAAAACGAGACCAGAGATTCTTTGACGGCAGAATTATGTTAGAAACTGACAAGTTCAGCTGCTTGTGCTGTAAAATGATGATTAAAGAATAAAAGTACCGACGGCTTCATAAAAACACAGAAAGACATGATGTTTCTGGTTTACTTCAGGGAGTTCACACTGGGTCAAACTATCCAAAGGAGAAAAAAAAAAAAGAAGCATTAACTGTGTTTTTTCTGATGTCAACATTTCACTCTGCAGGACATTTTAGTGTCTGTGTCAAACCAGCTTAAAGACAGACGAGACAGGAAGCCATTAATCTCTCTGACAGACTCTTTGGTCACCTCGCTGCTCCCTGTTTGTCTGACGATCAGCTAAGCCTGACTGACACCACCTCCTGCTGCCTGCGGGCCTCTTACACCTCGTCTGTCATCATTTTACACAGCGGTGAAAATAACTTCTTTAGAGGATAAAGACCTGAAGGTAAATGTTTGTAAAGAGCTGCAGCCCTTATTGACTCTGGACTCACCGGTGGTCCCAGCTGCCCCTGTTTTCCTGGAGAACCTGGACTTCCTGGAGAACCTGGAGCCCCTGGAGTCCCCTGAAGAGAATTAGAAGAGATGCAGGAAACTGTGCACGGTCCAAAGTAAATTACTGCAAATTACAGAAAAGCGACCTCAAATAAAATTCACAATAATTGTAAGAAAAGTTGCAGAGGCTAAAATAAGTTGTTGTGAATACGGAAAAATGTGCGAGTAAAAAAATAATAATTCTACTGAATAAATTGATATGTTTGATACTTTTGCCATAAGTAGTAAATACTGCTGTTATGATGTATTGATTTATAAAAGCACGTTTTAAATAAATACACTATTTTACTCACTTCAAACAAAAGAGTGCTAGCATTCATAAATTTTTTATACATCACTAAACTTGTACTGAGTTTGTACTGAGGCTGAATAACTTGTGTAGGACACCAGTACTGATACACAGCAGACACCAAGTTATTACTGTCAATAATTATATCTTTCTTTAAAGACAAAAATAAAACAAGTTTTAGCAAAACAAACAAAAAAAATTCTAAAAATGTATAAAGATTTAATTTGACATTACCTTTCTGTGATACACATATTTTACTGAGACTGAATTTTACCCTTGCTCCAAAATTATATCTGCAAACTGATTATATTTTTTAAATCCAAATAGGAATTCTTAGTTTTATATTTTTAATACATTTGCAAAAATCCTTTTCACATTGTCATAATGGGATTTTGTGTGTAGAATTTTGAGGAAATAAATTAATTTGATACAATATGGAATAAGGCTGTAACATAAAATGTGGAAAAAGCGAAGTGCTGTAAATACTTTCTGGATGCACTGTAAATAAAAATAAATAAATAAATATAAATAAATGTTCTCACTTCTTCTGAGTAAAACTAAAACTCTGAAACAGAGTAGCAGGTTGCATTTCTAGATCTATTTACTTGGTGAACTTGTTGCGTGACAGAATTTATTTTGGGCATTTTTTGGTCTTAAGACAGAATCTTTGACACTTTGGGGGATTTTCTATAGATGAGACAATAATTTACTATTGATTGTTTATTTGTTTTCTACATCCACTGTTTTCTGTAGTCACAGCTTTAAATGTGCCAAAGAAAAACTAAGTCCAACAACTGTAAACTGGATGTTTTTGTTTGCTTCAACAATCTGAACAGATAAAAGCTGTCAACGTTTCAGAATGAGTCACCATAGTTCCTGGGGGGCCCTGTCGACCCGCAGGGCCGTCTTTGCCAGGAAGTCCCTGTAAAAGTGAAAGTAGATGTTGAAATTATTTGTGCTCTTCTGGAAGCAAAGCCAACAAGTCTGTGTCTGACACATGTTGTGACTCACTCGTTGTCCTGAAGGTCCTTCTCTCCCTTGAACTCCAGGCCTTCCAGCAACTCCCTGGAAAAAAAAGGGTGAAAGTTCAGAGTCGGCTCAAAATCTTCACTACAATTAAAAGTTCTGAATATCAGCTCGCATGTTGGCAGGGCACATTTCAAGAACAAGTTCGTGTAATTTTATTGAACACGAAAGCACTATATTTACCGTAATCTTTAAGACTTAAAATAGGAGAAAATTAAACTGACTTTTCAACATCAATCAAAAATTAACAAGTCTGTATTATGTAAATACCAACGTAAAAAATACTTTGGTCATTTGGTGTTTGATTTAAGTGCATTTTAAAAGCTCAAACAACAACCAAAAGAAGACAAGGATCAAATACTGAAATCTTCCTGGTGCATTGAGATGAATGGAAATCATATTAATTTAACTAAAATCTCAGATCAAACCGATTGATAAGGTGAGAACGTTTATTACCTGCGATCCTTGCTGGCCCGGATCACCTTTCTGCCCCCTCTCCCCTATAGAACCCTGCACACATTTAGTCAGAATTTAACACAACTTTGTGACAATAACGAGACTAAGCTGAAAGTAGAAGGACAAGTGTCCTACTGGGGATCCAATGATGGAGCGTCCACTTGGTCCTTGTGGGCCAGGTGGTCCTTGAGGTCCAGGTACCCCTGTGTCTCCAACAGGACCGGCTGGCCCCTGAAGAGAAAAAGTGACAGGAGAGAAACAACAGTTTAAATCTGGTTATACAGTCTGCAGAGAAGACTCAGTTTCCATGAAGGCTCAGTTATGATTGGTGAACGTTGTGATGACAAATATAATATATCAAATATACACGTTGGACAATTTTCTCTTATGGCTCATCTCATTATTTGTTGAAAAGCTCTGCTTGTTCAGAGAATATATTATTATATGATCTGGAGCCACCTCAGGGCCATTTCCAGAGTTAATGGCCCAACATATCCAAACAAACCCAGGATCAGTCTGTGAACAGGAGCCAACAGAGCTGACAGCAGCAGAGCTGGTTCACAGTAAAGTGCCTGCTTCAGGAGACCTCCTGTATGAAACACCTGTCTTGGTTCTCTGACTGACATCCGTTTGTAACCTTACAGAAACAAATAAAGGTATGTTTTGAAGCCTAAAACTCCGTGTAACCACAGCATCACTGTATCAATAGTTTGGTTTGAATATTTCCTGTCAACCTTTAGAAAAGTTTATCAGATGAAACAACGAGCCACAGGCTACAATCTAGTTTGGATTGTTAAACACATTTAGATCCAGCACTTCACCTAAAACCTTTAAATCCAAATTGTGACCACTTTATAAAAACTCATTTCATACGTCATGAGCTTAAAGCATCAAAGATCTGATTAAAATGCAAGCTTGTGCTCCTGGGCCACACAAAAACAGAAGTTTTTAAAAACTATTAATAAAAACCTCATCAAAAAACAACATTTTCAGGCAATCTTCAGGGAGTAACAGATAAATGTTTTTTTTTTTTTTAAACTGTGCTTGTTCAGCTTTATTTCCTGTAAAACCTCTGATAAAGTGAAACATGTCACGTCTGCAGCAAATACCCTATTTTAGGTTTTACAAGCTGCTGTAACCAGTGTGGTCAAATCCATCCATTGACTGTGTCATCAGCAGCCATTGTGCAAGAGGACAACAAAAATTCACTCACACCTTAGGACAATTCAGAGTGTTCTGTTCTAACAATGTCAAACAAAAACTAGGAAACTTTTACTCTACATAGAGATGCTTGTCCGTTTAGATCATAGTAGATCGATGACTGACTTTGTTGTCGTGTCATCTGATTTGTGGCCCTTTGTTCTGGACACTCAGGTGAAGAGAGGAGCTGATCTGTCAACTGATTACCTGGTAGTGAGTTGGATCAGATGGTGGGAGAAGATGTCGGACAGACCAGGTAGACCCAAAAGTGTAATGATTGTTTTCTGGGAACGCCTGGCAGAAGAACCCGTCAGAAAGATCTTCAACTCATACCTCCAGGAGAGCTTTAACAACTTCCCAGATGAGGCATGGGACATCGAGTCCAAATGGGCCATGTTCCACTCCTCAATTGTTGAGGTGGCTGCCTTGAGCTGTGGCTGCAAGGTGCTTCTTGTGGTGGCCACCCTCAGACTTGGTGGTGGACATGCCAGGTTACAGAGGCTGTCAGGCTGAAGGAGTCCTATTGGGCCTTGTTGGCTGGAAGGACTCCAGAGGCAGCTGAGGAGTATTAGGTGCCAAGCGGTCCTCAGCTTTGGCTGTTGCTCAGGTACAAGCTCAGATGTAGGAAGAGTTCATAGAGGCCTTGGATTGAGACTCAATCTGTTCAGAGGTGATTCTGGCAAACCATCAGATGGCTGAGGAGGGCAAAACACCGCTTTCCTAACATTGCGTTCAGTGAAAGTGGGGTACGGTTGACCTCAACCAATAATATTGTCATGAGGTGGAAGGAATACTTCTCGGACCTTCTCAATCCCACCGGCACGTTTTCCATGGAAGAAGCTGAGTCGGGACACTTCGTGGTTGGTCTGTCCACAACCATGGCTGCGGTTGCTAAGGTAGTTAGAAAGCTTCACCGTGGCTAGGATCTAGGGGTGGACGTGGATGAGATGCACCCTGATTTCCTTAAGGCTCTGGATGTTGTGGGGTTGTTTTGATACATCGCGTAGAAATCAGAACAGTGCCACAGGACTGGTGGACTGCGGTGGTGGTCCCCCTCTTCAAGAAGAGAGACAGGAGGTTGTGTTCCAATTTCAACACACCACTCTCCTTAGCATTCATGTTCAGATATTTTCAGTGACACTGGAGAAACAAGTCCTGAACCATTGAACCTCAGATCTAGGATGTGGGTACAGTCCTGGCCATGGAACACTGGACCAGCTCTTTACCCTCAATAGGGTCCTTGAGGTGACATGGGAGTTTGTCCATCCAGTCAACATGCATTTTGTGGACTTGGGGAAGGCGTTCAACTGTGTTCCTCGAGGTACACTGTGGGAGGTGCTCCACTAATATGGGATTGGGGGCTCGATGTTACAGGCTACTCAATCCCTATACAAGCAGTGCGAGAGTTTGGTTCACATTGTCGGCAGTAAGTTGGATGCGTTTAGGGTGGGATTTGCTCAGCTTAGTTATCTGGGAGAGATTCGGAGTAGAAATGCTGCTACTCCATATTGAGGAGCCAGTTGAAATGGTTTGGGGATCTGGAAAGGATGCTCCCTGAGCGCTTCCCTAGGGAGGAGCTTCAGGCATGTCCGACTGGGAAGAGACCCCGGGGAAGACCAAGGACACACTGGAGAGACTATGCCTCTTGGTTGGCCTGGGAATGCCTTGGAGTTCTCCCAGAACAGCTGGAAGAGGTGGTTTTTGCTGTGGAATGAACTGTATGGGCGTCCCTGCTCAAGCTACTTCCCCTGTGACCCAACATTGGAATAAGAGGAAAATGATGGATGGGTGGATTGATGAATAGAGATGCTTGTTATTATTGTCACATTATTTTGAATACATTCTGTACTATTTTTGCTCTGTGTCTGAATTTGCCTTTAAATAAATCAGTTTCTGCATCACAGAGCTGAGGGCAATGTTTTAATATTGACTTTTCTACAGTCTGATCTTAAAAAGCAAAATCAAATCTGACATTTTCATAAAGGAATCACTTGTTTTCTCGAGCATACCTGACACACCGCAGAACAAAAACAACAAGAATGTCATAAACAAATGGTGCTGTCTGAGTAAAAACATCCTCTATGAAAATATGAATCAGTTATTTTGCCGTTTTCATTTTTGAGAAAAGTTTGTTTTCAGCCCTACATGATGAATATGCAGACAAATTATTAGTCAAAGTAGGTGTTAGTGTAGAGTGATACTGGAAAACTTGAGAAGTGTGTATGTGCGTGTGTGTGGTTATGTGTGTGTTTTCCTGTGATAACATCATAATAGATTCTGCAGTAACATCAAAACATTTGAGCGACAGGATTAGAGTAAAATAACTAGCGAAGTCGTGTGAAAAACTCCATCTGAATCTTGCAGGAGGGGTAAAACGACTCTCAGCTTGAAGCCATTTTAAAATGTCTGGCAATATTTATGAGGATCTGGATTTGGGGATGAAAGTGTGGTACAGCAAAGGAGCCCAAGCCAATCAACAGGAAAAAGTGGAGCGAGTGGTGGAAATCTACAACCCTTTGGACATTGTACCTGACTTCCATGGTGCTCCTTTCACGCAGGATGGAAGTAAATATCAAATATCTTTATTTTCTGTTAGATCTTGGTACAATCAAAGATGACCAAACAATAATTTTGTTTTTGGAAGATAAATTTACTACTGATAAAATATTTCCAAAGATAAAAAGTGTACAAAGATAGAACAAAGTCAATTAACTCTAAAAAACACCAAATTTCTTTCTTTGCATTTTATTTTGCGCTGTTTTATTTTTTCCTATTTCTTAGATAATATATAAAGCACTTTTGATTTGTTTAAACTGCTATAAAAAGTTGGACTTGTGTTTATTTCATAATGTTAAAAGGTAAGATAACACACTTGTGTAACATCTAATTTCAGTTCTTGACAAAGATTTTATGTTCAAAAAACACCAAACATCTTTAATCTTAGTAGGCTTGTCACAATAACAGAATTTGCTGGGCGATTAATTGTCTCAGAAATTATTGTGATGAACAATAATATTGTTTGAAATTTGACAATAATTAGTAATTATTGTCAAATTTAAGAAGAAATGTTTGTTAATTTGCTTTGCGTGTAGTGCCTTTTTTCAAACGCCAGATGGAAGGATGGATAGTAAGAGAAAGAGCAGAGTGTCTCGTTAAGAAAAACGTTATTCCCGGATCTGTTACGGAAGCACGATCCGTAATGTACTTCCGGGTCTCACGGATTGCCGTTGTTTATGAATAAAAACTATCTTAATGTACTTAGAATAGTATGTGCTCTATCTCTGCCGATCTTCATGTAACTAATTTACGCCACTCGTATTTCCGTTACAAATTATTGGTTGAGCTGATTGCATTAAACCTGACCCCCAGCCTGGGCTGAATGAGAAAAAACCCTGTAAGACACAGAATTAATTGTTTCCTTGGTGAAACAGCGCTGCTGAGTGGTCAAGCTGCATATAATTTTAACCATGGTGTAAATATGTCAGTGATTTTAACGAAATATGAGTGGCGTAAATTAGAAACATGAAAATCGGCAGAGATACAGCACATACTTTTCTACGTAAATTAAGACAGTTCTTATTCATAAACAGAATTTTACGAGTACATTTTCCTTAATTTAGCATATTCAAAGGCGATCCGTGTGACCTGGAAGTATTCCTTTTAGCGCATGCGCAAATGAGCTACACTATGGACCGTGCTTCTGTAACAGATCGGGGAATGACAGGCCCCTTGACGTGACATGGGTTGTCTCTTTGGTTCTCAAAATGGTGGACACTCGGTGCGGTTTGAACTCTTCATCATAGCATTTTTCACACAGAGCTTTTAATAATAAAAAAAATAAATCTGTAAACAAGTTCTCAGCTTGTTTTTTGCAGAGAAACATTTTTCAACTGTGAATTTTGGAACTTAGACAATATGGAGGTTTTTTTCACCGAGGTCGGCCTGTTAGCTTAGCTCGTAGCTTAGCTTCTCAGCTTAGGTGCTTTTAACGACCCAAAAACGTGATTTTGGATCATTAAAATTGATTTTAA